TTGGCCCTCTTGGCCACCTGGGCACACTGCTGGCTCACATTCAGCCGCCTGTTGACCAACCTCCCCAGGTCCTTTTCTGCCGGGCAGCTTTCCAGCCCCTCGTCCCCACGCCTGGAGCGTTGCGTGGGGTTGTTGTGACCCCAGGGCAGGACCCGGCCCTTGGCCTTGTTGAACCTCACCCAGTTGGGCTGGGCCTGAATGAGATCGCATCAGCGCTCTCCTGCTTCACCAATCCCAGCTACGAAAGGTAAAATACTAAACAGCACAGTGGTACGGCAGCGACAAAGCCTGCTTGCCAGCAGATCCGCGGCCACTGCTCTAGGAGGATGGTACAGAAACGGCTGCTTTGTCCCCCCATGACAAACCCACGCTACCCAGTGTCAGCCTGTGCCACCTGAGCGGCTGTTTCGCTGCTACCGAACGGCACGGCCAAATCCCGCCTGCCTTGCCCAGTGCTATCATTAACTTCAAATCATAGAATCATTTAGGTTGGAAAATATCTTTAAGATCATCGAGTCCAAACGTGAATGACGTGCCGTTCCAGTTTCCCTTGGAAGACGTACAGGGCCAGCGCTGCGTGCTTTCGAACGCGCTTACGTACCTCAGAAGCTACAGAATTCATCTGATTAAGGCACAGAAGAGAAGCGTTTCACCGGAACAGCGGCAGTCACATACGTGTGTGCGGCAGACCTCCTGTTTTCTACCCAATATCACAATACTTGCATCTATATTCTAATTTTTAACTGTTGTTCTTAGACCATACTGCACTTTTCATCTGTCTTTAAGAATTTAGGCAACACAACTGATTGGTGTGATACATTGCGAAAAATCCAGAGGAAATACCCTAGCCAAAGACATTTTAGTTAATTGGAATATATTTTTAATTTTCTCAGTTTTCCAGACATGCTGAAGTATATTATTGTATGGAAATCTTATTTACAAACTCTCTCACTCAAGTCCCAGGCTGGACTTCTACTTCCCTTCTTCTTGCAAGGTTCACTAGTCACATTATTGCTTAAAACCCCTCAAAAACTGTATTTTTTTTTTTTCTTTCCCTCCTTTTCTTATTGCACTTCTCAATCTGGGCCTGGCAGTAGATGACTTACTGTAACAAAACCAGAGAACCAGGATGACAGACAGTCAGGGGGAAAAAAATCCCTTCCTTTATGTTGTAAACTGCTCATCAGCCATAAGTAATTGGGCACCAAAGCCCGTAAAAGCTGCTTCTGACCTGGTGCTCTGCTTACCCTCCTTCGCTTTCTCCATCGTCCGTATTGGCTGTTCCTGAGCTGGCTGTGAAATAAATCGAACTGGAGCCGGTGGAATCACTTCGTTCTCTAGGGAAGGGAAACCGCCTTCGGCGAGTTACTTTCTGGGTTTCTTCCAGATGGGACCTTTGAGGCAGGCAAAAGGAGAAACAAATAAACATTTGACAGCGAAACGCCTGCTACTTCACCTCCCTTCTCCTCTCTAGCAGGTCCTGACCACTGCGCTCAAGACCCAAAGAAGTCGCAGGGCGAGTTGCTCTTGCTTACACAAACACCCCGCTCCCACACAGCGAACATCATGCGCTACAGTTAGAGAAGCCCGAGCACCAGCTCGGTCCGTATACCATCCGTATATGCCATCCATACACAAAAGGACAAACGCATCACGTGCGTTCCTCTGACTTCCTCGCCGAACGAAGGAATCCCGAAACACCTCGCGCAATACCTTTCATTCCCTATCCAAATGTTACCTGCAGTTGGCAGGGTCAGAGAGAAAATAGCAGTAAGAAGAGACAGACGCGTAGAGACCAAACAGCCTTCCTGGGCCAGAACGTGAAAGCACATGCTAGAACTTAATGCTCCATCAGAATAAAAACCCAACCCTGGCTAAAAGTACGATTTTTTTTTATTTACATTAATCTCACTGGAGGTCAAGACACCATTCCAGCGGAAAACAGAGACGCTTTTTCCACTTTTTGGATTTTCGATGTAAGAGACTCAATCCCGGCCACGGAGCAAACGCGTGCAGCAGCAGCAAAAGGCAGAAAGGGGCAGTGCCGATACCTGACTTCCCCGACGATTTCCGTAGCTAAGTGCTGCAGGCTGTTCCGTAGCTCCTCCACTTCTTTCCTTAGCTCTGCAATGTTCCTTAGCACGAAGTCAAGGCGCTCCAGGACGTCCACCTGCTCGCCCTGTGTTAGGAGAGGTGTGTACACAGCACCATCGCCCGCCTCCACAGGAACCGGCACCCTGGGCACTGCTTAAAGACAACAGGAGGAGAACAAGTCCATTAGGTGCAAATGGGAAAGGATTCCCCGTGGGAAATCTCAGTGCAATTTTATTTTCAGAAGCTGAAGGATATGAGGCTTGGTTTTGAATATCGCTGCCTGACCCGGCCTGAGGTTTTGAGTTCTTCCACTGGTTCACCGCTCCCTTCTCCGACACCAGCATCTAGCCACACTTCACAGATTTGCAATAGCACTTAGGGATAAATAAAGCTCTTCTGACTACGCTTCTGTAAAAATCCCCTCGTAGGAATTGTTTTCAAAAGAGCAAAATCCATACTGAATATCACAAACGCTACCACAGGTAAGGAAGCTGCCACTTTTTTTAAAGTTCTTTCTGAAAATTAATTTAATTCCTATTCTACATGCTTCTGCATTAACATCACAGCGAAAAGCTACACTCTGCTTTTCTCCAGAGTCACCCCGGGAGACTGTCAGCCAGGGAAGCAACCAGCTCACAAAATAACACGTGACAACGAGCAAGGACAAGGGAAGCCAGTCTGGGCCACAAGAGACCAAAAGCCAAACAAAATCCCCCACAAAACCCCCTCTATTCTTATCAAAGGGAAAAAAAAAAAAAAAAAAAAAAAAAAAAAAAGCCACAGAAACCCAAAGAGGAGACATCGCGCTTTAAAAGGCAGTCCAGTCGCCAAAACGTGTCCTTGCCTTGGACTGCACATCTAGAACCTTTATCAGCCTGCGTGATCAGCCAGCACGCAGGACCAGAATTACATCTGGGGATGTTAAACACGTTTTCCTGAAAGCTCATAGATATTATAAATAAATATACTACCAGTTACGTCGGTTATTTAAGAAAGGACACTCTCTATACTAACGACAACAGAGAACCACTCTCAGAAAAGGAGCCAGGCTTGTGGAAACGAAGGGCGTATCTTAGAATCATAGAATCACTTTGGTTGGAAAAGATCTTAAGATCATCGGGTCCAACCCTTAACCTCACCCTGCCATCCCACCACTAAACCATGTCCCTAAGCACCTCATCTATCCTTCTTTTAAATACCTCCAAGGATG